AAAGGATTTGAAGGACAGTGGTGAAAGTTAATGATAAGATGGGTTCATTTCCGTTGCAACCTTTAACCAACCGCAGTTAACAGAGATTTACCTCTAAACTGTATTATATTGCTCCAACTTTATAATCATTGGGATGGAATGGAATCCATTCCAAATATGTGCCCTGCATGGTCCTGTAAACATTCACTGAATCAAATAAATGAAAGGTGAAATGACAAAAATGTAATTTTTGGCATACCACGCCGAGAACATCCCAATCACCTTCTTCGTAAGGGTTGGGAATAGGTGCTCAATACATCCACTGTCAACCTGTAAAAAGCACGCACAACCAGTATCATACATAAAAACTCTACTCAGCCAAGCTACCTGGGAAACAAACATGTAATCGGAGAGCAAGACTTACAGTATCCAGGATATGACTTTTGAAATTGATTTGGGAACAACCGTGTCCAAGTATCATCACCAACCGTTTCCCATTTAGCACTAGAGAGCACCCATTCAAGTTATAACCAAATCAAAATTGACATTAGAAAACAAAAACACTTTTGGTTTAGATAAGCCTAAACCTGATATTGATGGAAGTTATCTTCAACAATAGCAGGCGCACGGAAACTATTCCCAACATCGATAAAAGTAGGCAATCCTCCACTTGTTAATCCCTGAATCCACAGTTAATGGAAATCACACACTAGACTTCCAAAAGAGTTCTAAGTAGGAGGATCTTGAGAATCGAATTTGTTTGCGTTTCTGAAAACGTGAGAACGAATGCAGGTTGAAGTGTTTCATGTGAAGCAAAGGTTACAATATTCCCTGGAGAACAGAGCAGCTACACCTAGGAAGCCTTTCCATGTCTAAAAACACAGACAAGAATCCACGCATTGTTAAAAGAAACTTAGGCTTCTAGTTTGTAATCTATGTGTTTGTAATGTTTTGGGGATTTATATAAAAAAAAAAAGACGTGTAAAGAATACAAACTAGATTTCATCAGACGACTAGTTACAATATAAACAGCCATTTTTTGTTCTCTTCCATTTCATTAAATGTCACCGACTAAGTTTTCCAGATAAAGCTTCTTACACACATAAAAACACTCAGAGTGGAGATGAGACTTATGGTCTTTCTCCGGACAATCGGGTCTCAATGATTAGCTTCTTTTTTAAGACAGAAAATAACATTATCACTGTGACTCTTCCTCAGGTGGTTCTTCTTCTTCTTGAAGAAGGTTCTCACGGTTGTCATGAGCCCAGAAGCCACGCACATCTATAAGCATGCTCGCAACGGTTCCACCTTGTTTACATCCCAAGAGATCTGCCAGAGTGATCTTTAACGGGTCAGACGGTTTCACCATGTCCCAGATCTCGTCCCGAACATCCTCTATGCACAGTTCATAGTTCCCACCTTCTATCCATTTCTGGTGAACATCTCTGCAAGTTTTAAAGATGAGATTTGAGACACTAATTTACAAGAGAGACAGTGGAAATATCACACATCAAGGTGTGCTTCATATGCGTTAGTGGTGTCTTTGCAGATATGAGACCCGCGGAACAAGACTCAGCTTCCGCAAGCAGGAAATGCAGAGTTTTTATATAGGAAGATTGTATCAGATAACATCACAACTTTTTGATGCTCCCCTTCTTTACTTCCATGGTTGATATATTTAAAAGAGTCTTCTTCAGAGAAAATCTACTGAAAAGTAAAGATTTAAAAACCAATCAGACCCAGTCACTTGATAGAGATCATTACCTGAAAAGAGAGTGAATATCAGCAGTGGTGAGATAGCCTCTCCCTTGGAGATCAAGACATCGGAATAAGTATGTCAAACCCTCAGGAGTGTCTTTGTTCTCCAAAGCAAGAACGAAATCTAGGAAGCTGTCAAAGTCCATTTCCCGGAAACTTCCTGAGCTGCTTTTGTCACGGCGGACTTGCTCATCTATCACGCTTTTGCCACGGCGGACATGCTCGTCGAATACTACAAAAGAGCAGGGGATATGAGGAATTTTGTTTTCTAAATTTCTAGTCGGTTGAGAAACAAAGGAGAAACTTGTATATACCCAATTACTTCTAAAACTATAGTTACGCTTGTCTCTACCACTGTTGGTGACTATCAATAGTTCAATACCAAGAGAATTATACAATGACCAAAAATCAATTGATTTTACCTCTTTCGATGAAAATATCAGTTAGGGTCCCATCTGCGTATTCTTTGAGTTCTTGTTTGCACAGCGTTCCACTCATATCTTTATCGAGTGCAAGAAACATATCTACACAAGAAAGAGAAACTCTAAATTCACAAGACATAACAAGAGTTGTTTCCAATTTATCTGCAGGTAGTCGAGACAAAATAGCCCACCCACCACATATGCGTTGAGCTGAAGTCAAAGAAAACCAATTTTCAGCCTGTTCAGTGTCTGTGACTTCCTCCTCACTTTCCTAATGAAGTATCCGGGGAACAATCAGTAAATGCAAGTGGAAAAAACAGGTAGCTTCTGAAACTGGAAAGCTATATA